TTTTATTTGGCAAAAATCAGAATAATGCTTGGCTGTGCCTGTCAAGTATCAAGATGGTCAAATTATTTAAAAATGTATACTTCTTTTGATATTTATTTCAAATAATTTGTAGTGTATCTCAATTCAGGCTTTCTATAAAGGTGCAGCAAGATAGATAATATAATGTTATTATACAAAGGTAGGATATAATGCTGGTTTTTTTGGAGAAAATTTTTATTATACGATTTTGGATTACATATTCAACCAGCGAATTGTAAATAATAATTAGTAAACTTCTAGTCATAAATTGCCTCAATGAATAAAATTTAAAAATGAATCTTCTTACCTTGGTACTGAGTTATTTTGTTGTTTTTTATTTTAATTATAAAGTTGTCATTTATTTGTATGTTGAAAGAAGGCATTTGTAAATTACATTGCTCTTTATATGGATCTACTTTAAAACAAAAATAGTTTTGTGGCTATAAGTTACTATAACCTATCGTCGCAAAACTATTAATAATTTAAACATAGTAAGTAGTATTATTATAACATCAAGTAATTTTTTAAAATAAAGTACATGATCTCAAAATAGAAATAATTTATAATAAATGCGGGTAAAACGAGGGGTAAAATAACAATAAATTAAGGGAAATACTTAAAAAGGGCAGGTTTAAAGAGTATTATCACAAGAAAGTATATCCGTTCTGTTTATTTATCAAGTATTGTTTGAGGTTACTTTATTTGAATACATTTATTGTTTTTTTTTTAATTTCTGTAGGCAGTCTATTAAATGTTTTAAATCTTTAATAAAAATTGTATTTTGGGAACTTTTAGTGATACATGAAAGTCAGATTGGCTTCTTGTATTTTAGTTGTGATATTTCGAATTATATTGATTTTTTTCTAATAAATCTGATGCGATGGTACTATCATTTTTATTTTATAAATAAATATCACTCATGCACTGATCATAATTCTGAACTGAAAGCCAATTTATTTCTTTTAACATAGTTGCAATACTCATCCTTCTGTCCTTTATTAATATTATATAAACAGGCGAAGTAAGGAGTCCAAATATTTTACATGAGCAGGCTTAAGAGGTAAAGGGGCCAATTATTATTGGATAAATTGCTCAAACCCTAATCAAAAGGCGATACAGAATGGTTTTAAAAATCAAGGCTTATGGAAATCATCACATGGTTTAACCTAATTAATACCAATGCTTCATAAACCAAAAAATTCAACGTCCTAATACTACCATCGGCTTTCGGTCTTTCGTTCCAAGTTAAATCATTTCTCGTTTTTGTTACGCTACGAGTTTAGCCTTGTGGGCCTCAGTCTCGATAAGGTGGGAACCACCATTTTACCGTCTCTCGAATTTCAAATTTGGATTTAAGAAAACATTATTCACCTTTGTAAATTGATGTCGATCGTTTAAATATGTTTTAAAACATTCTACAACAGTTATTTTAATTTCGGGGATTTATGCTGGAACGTATAAATAATACAATAATTCTTCCTCATTCCCCGCTTCTCATAAACTTCTAAAAATATTCGTAAATGATTTATATCGACGTTATGATATTGTAATATAATAATCGTGTAGGTATACACAAAACATAAAATCGCTTAATGTATTTTACTAGAAAATAAGTGACAACCGGCAGAATGTGTTTTATTTCAAAAACACGAAAATTTTATAAATAAAATGTCGGTTCAAAAATCGTATATTAAAAATTATTTGGATATGTAGGTAAACGATGTTGGATATACGCGCGGAATATTTTGGAAATTTTCCAGACGTTCTTCTCTATGAAATATAGGTACTAGAAAATTGGTAAAAATAACACAGGTAAAGTGAAAAATGATAAATACATTTTCTAAATAATCGAAGACCGATTTATTGCAAAATTATAATATAAATAAATATGACAAAACTGCAAGCATCTAATAATAAATAATGCATTCCTTGAAGACATGATGTAAGAAAATTTAATATCTGATAGTTAACTAATCAAGCATGTAAAATTTTGTTATACAAGGTATTATTTTTGAGGCGAAAAGAAATGGCCCAATTTTCTTGATTTAAATTATGGTTTCTATAACATTATGATAACCGTGACCGGTTAACCGGTTCCATAGTACCAAAAAACCGTTAAAGAAGGTAACCGGTTTAACCGTTACCGGTTTAACTGGAACCTGGTTAACCGTAACCGGTTTAACCGGAACCGGTTTATAACCGTATATATGTTTACCGGCCACATCAACTTCCAGTGAACGGGTATTTTTCAGTGCAGGAAACATAGTTTCGGCGAAAAGAAACTGCTTGCTGCCGGAAAACATTGATAAGTTGAGCTTTTTGCATCAAAATTCAATAATAATAAAAAATAGGTAATTTTGTTATTAGGTATTTGTTAGTGTTTCTTATTTTATGTCCCAATTAATTATAACTTATTTTAGAATGTTTTTTTTACTTGAATATAGTTTATGTTCTTTAGTTTTACCTACTTACCCACCCAGTGGGAAGTGAGTGACTGTGTTCTTTTTTAAATTTTAAGAAAGTTTAGCAAAAGTTAAATTGGTAGTATTTCTATTATTCTAGTTTAATTTGTATTTAAAAAAATCAAGCATGCACTGCCTGGTTGTCACGGGTAAGGAAAGGTGAAATGGTTAGTAAAGTGACCCCATTTCTATTGAAAACAAAGGATTTGGTGGATCTGTTTTGCCACGATTAAGCCGGTGATGGTTACAGTTAAACCAAAAACGGATAAACCAGTGACGGGTTTAACTGGTCACGGTTATTGTTAAACCGCCGAATCCGGTCTAACCGGTCCGTTTCGACTGGCTCGGTTTAATCGGAAAGGTTAACCGGATAATCTGACCGGTTAACTGGATAATCTGACCGGTTAGCCGGATAATCTGACCGGTTAGCCGGATAATCTAACCGGTCGACCGGATAATCGGACCGGTTAACCGGATATCGGGACCGGTTATAATAATAGTAAAAATCCTGTTATAACCGAAACCGGTCAAAATCAGTCGAACCGGTTAACCGTTTATCACGTCAGGAATTGACAGCCTTAGTTTGCAGTAACTAAGAAAATCTAAATCCCCAATTTTAAATGTTTATACCTATATAGTGGTTGTCGAGTTTTTGCCAAATAAAACTTCAAATAATTAACATGGTACAATAATTTTGTAGGGACACCCTGTATATCTGGATACCGGATAATACAGCGAGAGTGGCGGTCAGGGAAAACCTAAAATATATATAAAATAAATGAATTATTTATACACCCACATTTTATTTATTATATTTTATTTTTTTCAGAATTAATTCAAAATGCCTGCACCAAATGAAGGAACGAGTTTGTTGACAACCTACCTCATCCTTATAGCACTTTTGATAGCTCTATGGGTTTTATACTCTGGCCTCTTATAGACAAATTAAATTAGGACAAAGTAAGTACCTTCATAAATAAATAATTTTCTGGGTTTATTTTGAACTAAATATGTATATTTAATCAACTTAACATTCAACATTTTTCTAGTAAAATACCTAAATAGGGCTGTCAGATTGGAATATCTAAAAAACGAGCAGGTATACCAATCAAAAAACTGTTAAAAAATCGAAACGTTGAATAAAAATCGGGACGATATTATTTTAAAAGAATAATATATATTAAAAGAAATAAAATAATTAATTCTCAAAACAGAACAGTGCATGAGTCATCTATATAATATTCTCAACGTCGAAACCTAATAAAATCTTAATAATATGATGAATAAATTATTGAATAGGTATGTCCAGAATAGCTAGGTCATAAATACTTTTCATCTTTTTCTACTTTTAAAATAATTTTCTAATATTAAAATTTCTGTATTTTACCTATGTGAAATCGGCACAATTTGTGTCCCAACGTATAGTCACTCCAGCGGGATACGGGACAGAACCCCCGATATCGGAACTGTCCCGTTAAAATCAGGACATCTGGCAACCCTAGACATAAACATTAATTAAAAATAATAACAGGTACATCTATACAAACATTTTATACACATTGTTGTTGCATTTTAACCTTGAATATCTCGATTAGATGGACATTGCCAAAATTTTATTACTCCTCTTCCGATATTCTAGTGGAAACTTTGTAATTTAGCACAGCATTAGAAAACCACTTTTCATTGTAAATGAAGCCCATTTGCCAGCTATTGTTCTATATTTAAATAGGTTAAATTGTTTCAAGTACCTACCGTATCCAAATTAAATGTTTATACGTACACACAAAATGGTTGGCTGATTTTTATTATTGTTTTCGGGTTATTTTGGAACTATAGTGGAAGTTTTTTATTTTTAACAAACTCTAGGCCCTATAGACTCGGAATAGTATATGCTGTAACAAAATTGGATTTTCATTCCAACAGGGTAACAGACTGTACTTTCTCCATGACCACAGACACAGTAGGCACGGTGTTCAGGGGGCATGTTTAAATCGAAAGTCAATGTACCTCATTTTTTATTGTTCGGGGGTATTTCTGGGCACTTTCTGAACAACTTCCAACCATTTTTAAAATCGCCGACTTGGCACTTTTGAAAAATATCGGGAAAAATTGGCCCAAAACGCGTTGTTTTTGTTTTATTATGGGGCAAAAAGAGCTTGTTCAAATTTGATACTTTTTTAATGGATTCTCTGGTCAATTTTTTCCCTAATCCATTCGGTTGACTCCTTATTATGAATATTGAAGGGTATGATGGGATGGGACTAGCTTACCTGAGAAATGAACAATCAAGAAGCGGCGTGAAGATGTAATTTGTTTTTCGTACTTTGTTTTTTTTTTTTGGGCAAGTTGTGGAGAATATAGTGGACATTTCATGCTAGTATGATAATGAAGTGTACACTGAAATGCTGAGTAATTTATATTTATTTCATGTATTCACAAATGATGGCTATTATATTCACATACAGCACGAAAAAGTCTTTTATTGTAATCTAGGAGGCTGTTTGAAACTTTATACTTTTTTCATGTCTCATTGAAGTCATGATGCACAGATTCAATAGCTTGTTCACTATAAAAACCTAATGCTTTTCCCGTCGAATCACAAAATTCCTCGACGTGAAAGAATATAGCTTGAATTTTTGGGGTCACTGATTTCAATAATGCTAAATAACTTCGTCTAAAGTCTGCAATCGCGGATTTGTAATTTGGTCTCAATATCATCCCAAAACATTCATGAACAACACGTCCAAGGCAGTCCAGACTCAAGCAACCCAATTCACAGTTTGCTCTCAAAAGATCCACTTTACTCAGAAGAATTTTACAGGAGTTTCCTGTGAATGCTGCACCACCCTGCCTTACTTCCCTCTGGACATTACATTTTTTTATCCAATTGGCAGCATCTTTCTCAAAGTCCCCAAACATATGGTTGACGATTGTATTAACTCCACCTAAAAGTAGATGAAGTTCTGGTGGAGGGACGAGGTACAATATTTTACTGTCTTTAGATCCGTGGAAAATTGGAGGATAAATACAACTTTTGAATTTTTTCGCATCTTTTCGAACAGTGCCTGCTTCAAACCATTCTTGATAATGTTGCAATGAATTTCCGATAGTTCGGTCCAAACCAGGTTTATCTAAGTGATCCTTCTGGGCATAGCACCAAGTACATGGGTAGCTAGAGGCTGTAGAAAGCCTATTTTTGTTCGTTTATTTTAATATTATTCTTACGCTCCTCGACGTTTACTTGTTTCCAATGCTGTACTACGAAGTGCTAGCGGGAGTGTACTTTGTCTCGCGATCGGCGCGGTAAGTGAGGAGTGCGGGGTGAAACGACGAGACGGTGGTATGAGCGGGAACGAGGAACCACACGACGGGCGGTCAGTCGACTTGGGGACAGAGAGAGAAGAGTACTGTCTTGCTTAACCCTTGTTGGCGACGTAATTTTAATAATGTTATGGTTATAATTTGTATTTTGTGTTCCACAGTAAAGTGTATTTTTTTTGAGTTGACGAATATTTTCCTTCTTTCACCCAACGACGAGATAGAGTTTTACAAGGCGTGCGTCATTATAACAATATGTTGGCCAGCTTTAAATCAGTTGCTATTACTCCGGTGAATTCATTGATTTTCAATAAACTCCATAATTTCGCAATGTTTGAGTAATTTTCTTGTGTATTAGGAGCAACAGCAATGACAATTAATTTTTCACTCCCGAGTCCTTGAAATTTTTGCAGATAGATTTTGAAAAACTTGAGGTGGTGTGATTTGGTTCAGCCAAAGATTGCATGGAAAGACAAATTTTCAGAAATCCACCACCTCCGTCGATTCCAAAAATTTCCGAATTTTGCCTTTCCTCGTTTATGTGCTCAATCAAACCATGTAAGTCCTAACAAAACGCAACTGGTTCTGGAGCTCCGGTTTCAACATTGGCCTTCACGTTTATAAAATCCAAACTGGTGACATCAAAGTATTTGTCCAGAAGATGGTTTCGAGCAAGGAGTTTTTCCTCCAGGTTAATTTCGAATATTTCCCGATTTTTCGTGGAAGCACGCAGAGCGCAAGCGACTCCTTTCACGGTGTTGAAACTCAAATTGAAACTATCCTGAATTGCGGATTCTGGTGTATATTTAATTTTAAAGGCTTTCCGTGAATTTGAGACAGAGAGATATCCTTGTTCCGACCACCACTTGGCGTTTCTTCAGCCTGCGATATCGTATGCGTATGCTTCAAGATCATTGATATGATGTCAATTGCTCGCTTTTCTTTTGCTCCATAGTTTTCATAAAATCTTTTATGTTGTTTAAGTGAGTTGTTTTAGTGCAATTGTGATTCTTACCTCTGCCAATCAGTGTCAAACATTTCACACATCTCTTTTCACTCGACGTTTTTTTCTTACCAGTTTCTTGTGGCGCATTGCGGGCTGTTTCTGATTTGTCAACATATTTCAAACAGCGCTTTCTGACCAATTCACACATATAGCACAAACATTTATTTTTCACACTTTTTGATTTCGTGTTGATTCCATTGCGAAAGAGTGAATAATCTGGTAAATTGAAATTCCTGGCCACGTTTCCTGCAGCAAAATTGCGGTACAGCTTTGTTTTACACGCACAGCACAAAACGTTCGGCATGAAATCGGTGATTTCAAAATTCAAGAGAGATTTCAATTTGCCCGCTAATGCACCTTATAAATGTTCACGAAATTTGTACCTTTTTGTAAACATAAAAGGCATACACACCCCTGATTGTCGGCATGAGAACCGGCATGGTTCAGTTTCTTTACTTGGAACATTTTAACGTTATCTTCTATATAGAAATCGATTCGAGTTTTCCGCTCTACAACTGGTAGCGAACTGACTGACTCGTTGTTTCATTACCCGATTTATTGTTTATGATACCGGTTTTACAGAGTTAGAGCGAGGGCGCTTAGAATAAACAATGCTGCTTGAGTGGAAAAATGCCAAAACAAACTCAAGGAGCATGAAATTAGGAGATTTTTCCCTTCCTAGATAAATGCGTTGAAATATTTGATGTATAGGTTATTTGTTGACGCCCCCCCCCCCTCCCCCCGTCCAATGTACTCAAAAATAACCGAAAAAGAAAAAAAAGCAGTAATTTTTCCTGAAGATTTTTCCTGATTTTTTTCAAAAGTGCCAGGTCGGCGATTTTAAAAATGGTTGAAAGTTGTTCAGAAAGTGCCCAGGAATACCCCCGAACAATAAAAAACGAGGTACAGTGACTTTCGATTTAAACATGCCCCCTGAACACCGTGTATTACCTGGAAATTGATAATTGTTTCCTATCAAATCCTATCAAATGGTCGACTCTATAGAGAATATATTTTCGATAAGTGATGATGATATTGATGGTTCACATGTTGCAGAAGATGGTGGTGCCGCTTCAGAAATTGTATTTTCACCTTCCTCTATCGTTTCAGTGTTGGAAACTTGACTTTTTCGCAAGAAATGTTTCATACGGCCAGCCATCTTCTCCCTTTCTTGGACTCTCGAAATTTTGCACCAGAAGGTCGTTTTCTCTTCTGTGACTCCTAGAAATTAAGGAATACTAGATCAAAAATTGGTAAAGGTATTTAATATTGAGAGTAATTCAGGTTTTAGTGCACAAACTTTAACAGAAAAAATAATAAACATATTTTGTAGTATTTTCCACAATATCTTATTAATAGCCGAAGTAAGTTAAAGTCAAAGGTATATTCCCGTTTCGCCTGACATAAAAATTGTTACGTTTTGATAGCGTTTTGCCTGACTACATGTTAAACGGAAAAAAATAGTTGCGATTCTCCTGACCTGCTCAGGTAATAAATATGTATTTGCTGTAAAGAAATCTATTACTAACAAATGAATAATAATAAAATTAAATTAAAATGTTATAGTTATTTAATTTGATATAAACAAAAAATATAGAGCACCCAGTATAGTAAAAAGTTAGTAAAATAAAAACTAAACATTTGTTTAAATTGACGAAGCGTAAAGCGAATAAACTATTTGAATTTAGAAATTTTTTTATGTCTCCCAATAACCGGCCAGGACAAAAAAATATATTTAAGAACTAAAATTCCCCCAGTAATAATTTCAACTATACATTACTTTAGAAAAGAAAAGATTTAAAGGAAAAAATATCAAGATGGTTTAGAAAATTTAAAAATAATTCATTTAAAAACACTGGTACAAAACGCTTAATAATGTCAATAAATGCAGTTTTTTTTTGTTTCAAATCAAATCATCCTTATAAATCAAATTTTGCATGTATTTTGAAAATGGCCCTTATGATAAAAAAGCACGCACCATCCAACTTATGGTCAGGCGAAACGATACCACAATTTGAGCTTGTCAGACGAATCGGGAAATTTTAATTGGTCAGGCGAATCGGGCATAAATCAAGTCAAATACATATGTATTATGTGGGTAGGTACTTACCATTTCATAAAATTTAATTACAACACAAAATATAAAGCACTCCGTCGAATATTTATAACTATAACTTTGCGTCTTGGTTTTTGACCTTCACGTAGCCGAAGAAAATATTAACTATTTGGATTACGACGCCTCCTGCAGTTTTATTTATACTCGTGGTTCGTAGATGAGTCTTCAAGTCTGGACAGGAAAAATCGACAAGATCTAATATGAAACTTACTCGTCTTACAATATTCGAGTCTAGACAGGAAAAACGTAGTTCGTAGAGTATTCTAGTCTGGACAGGAAAAATCGACAAGATCTAATTTGAAACTTACTCGTCTTTCGTACAGTATTCGAGTCTGGACAGGAAACATCGACAAGTTTATACTTTATACGGGTATTCATGTTATTAACTAACCTATTGATTTTATTATATTTAATAATTAACGATAATTGAATAGCTATTTGATTTCAAAAATAGATTTGTTTTCTGTCACAATAGGAATAGGTCATTATATCAACGAACATAAACTTCGATAACATTATTGATTATATTATCATGAATTGAGATAAAATCATTTTTGATTTCTTTAGTGTCTTAGTGCCTTGTTCATTGGAATCGTTAGAAAAATTAAAAATTCGAATTGTATACAGATCTCCGGTTTGGCACCCCTTTAGAGGGGCACCCGCGTGCGGTGCACGCGCAGTTGAGAGGGCCGTGCCTAGAGGCCGCGACCCGCAGGTTGAAAAACACTGCTCTAGACGATCTGAAATCGGTATGTTTTTTTCTAGAAGAAGACGATTCAATTGATAAGAATTTCTATTTATATCCACCAGGCAACGGTCATTATTGCAGTAAATGAGCGATATGTTTTACTATGCATTTTGGAAGCGAAAACATCGAAAAGTTGAAATTTACAAATTTGGTTCAATACTCCATATATCAGAATTTTGAAAAGTTGTTTGCATGTTTGAGCAGAACAGAAACAAAATTAAGTTACACTAAATATCTTTGGTATTTTCCCATATAAATTTGTTACTTTTAAATCTAAATATTTAGATAATAGCCTCGGAGATAGAGAATTAAAAAAAATATATATTCTTATTTCTAATTAATAACTTTTTCATTTGTAAATAATAAAATCATCAACCTTTTTATATTCTCTTAATTTGTGATTTATGCGTAAATCACGTGAAATAAAATAACATTCCGTATAGCAAAAAACAATGTATCTTAACGGCAAAATTAATTGGGCAAACATAAACACAAAACATTTCTCATGCTCTTTGATACATTGGTATGTTGAAAATACAAATTAAAGGATTTACATTAAAAACAACTCGGCGTCGTCGAACCGAAAACAAAATTCGAAAATAACTAGCGAGTTTTTGAAATTTTGCCAGTGCGACACACCGGCAATAAAAGTTTTTCGGAATGACGCGTTTCTTGCAAAAATATTTCGTACCCGATAGCATAAGTGTTTTACAGAATCGTTTACAGAATGTTCGAATCTGTTGTTGTTGTCGCGTGCAAAATATGCAGTTTTTTTTGTTCAAAAACAGCGATGCAGGTTAGGTATTCACCCAGTTGGAATGGAAATGTTCCTTATCTCAAACATATTTCTCAGAAAAATTAAAGGACAATTTGGGTCGAACATTTTTCCGGGAAAACTTTGCTTGAAAAAGGAAAAAGGGGAAAAACCTTTAAAAAGAATTATCCGGCTCCACGAGACGCGTCGATTGGTGTATGTATCCACGACAGGATTTTTTACTTTCCTATCTGTTTACAGATATAAGGAAAGTATGGGAATCATGATTTTTTTCGGCCTCGAGTTTTCGACGGATTTTTACGTTTTGAGGTCCCCTGAATCCGTTTTGACTATTTTCGCGATGATGTCTGTGTATTTGTGTGTGTGTGTTTGTCTGTATCCACCATAACTCATGAACCGATACACAGAAAAACACCAAATTTTAAACTTAACCTTTATTCCAGCGCCCAATGAACTGATTAGATTTTGGGCAGAGTCGGAACATCTGGGGGGATACTTTATAGGTGGTCATTTTTATATTTTATGGAATATATGTTATTTACGTTTAGAGAAAAAAATTCTTCAAATAAACGTTACTTCTAATATTATCTATAATTTTTGTTCTATACAAAATTTTCCTAAAATGGTCCGTATTCGAGAAATTTGACAAAATGTAAAAAAAATATTTTTTTATAAAAATTGTTCAAATAAAAGTTGTTTGTTATATAATTCTCTATAATTTTTATCCTATACATAATTTCTCTAAAATGGACCGTATTCGAGATATTTTAGAAAATGTGTAAATTTCGAATTTTGAAGAAAACTCAAAAACGGATAAAGAAAAACATTAAATTTTAAAATTAAGTTTTATTTTGGTCTGACGTGAAATGATTAGATTTTGGACAAAGTCAGAACATCTGGGGGGTACTTTATGGGAGGCCGTTTTTATATTTTATGTGTTATTTATGTTTGGAGAAGAAAATTGTTCAAATAAAAGTTACTTCTAATATTATTATCTATAATTTTTGCTTTATGTCAAAATTTCCTGAAATGGTCCGTATTCGAGAAATTTGAAAAAATGTGCAAAATTCTGATTTTTATGAAATTTGTTGAACTAAAAGTTATTTGCGATATCGATCTCTATAATTTTTGTTCATACATGATTTTTCTAAAATGGACCGTAATGGAAAAATTGTACGAAAAGTGCTAAATTTAAATTTTTCAGTATTTTCGTTTTCAATGAATATCTATAGAAAAATGTTTCGAGGTAGATGTATGTGGAAAATGTATATATTTAGTTTATTCTCTAAACATTTATAGAGGTGCTGCAATAGGTTGTAAAAAATAAAAAAGCCTATAATAACTAGATAGGAAAGTCATGTGTTGGACACATCAGATTTTTTATTACAGGGAGAGAATGAAATAAAAAAAACGCAACGGCTTTTTGTTTTTTCAGAAATTTTTGAAAAATTTAAAAATTTGAATCGAAAAATTTAAAATTTTCCTACTATAAAGTGATTTTTCAAAAAAAAAGTTTGGTGGTCGAATCATATATGCGATATTATTAGTTAAATTGCTGTTACGGCACGTCCTTATGTCAGTCGATTCCATCATCTAAAAACACACAATTACATCCTGGTTGGACCATACTGATCCAAACAAAAGCATACATATATTATACACAACCGTTGCGAACAATTTTTTACACAAATAAAAATAACTCAATCTGTTACTAAATTAGAGTTCTAGAAAATTAATGACAATAGCATATCATCTCCGCATCCTT